TGTCTCCCAGCACATTAACTTGAGGTTCGGGCGAAGCTCATATCACTTCGAAACCACCTCGGCTGGACACGTGGCACCTCGCTGAGGAGTAGACATGATGCACCGAAGTGGGTTAGTGAAGGCTGTAACAGTGTCCAGGTTGATTAGTCTGAAATTCATGATAACATGTAAAATTAATCATACTCATCTAAGGTTTCCACAGTGAAATAAAAATAAAAATCTGAGGTTTCTATATTGTTTAGACATGCCTAAGAGTAACATAATTGTTTGTTATTATAATTTTGTTAGTATATAGTTATAATACTACTGCTATTTGTTATAACACAGTGATAGTCTTGCCATTGCGACAATTTTTGGTACCAAATACATGTGAGTAAAATATTGTAGAAAATTATAAATCTTAATCTAAGCCCCGTTTGGTAGGGATTTTTTGCCCCAAAAAATTGATTTTTTGACCGTTATTTTACTATTCAAGCCGTAATTTTTGACTTCTTCTCTCACATGTGGACCCCACTTTTCTTCTAACGGTCAAAAAATCAATTCTCAAAATCCCTACCAAACGGGCCCTAAAGTCTAAACACTGAGAGCAATAAAATTACACAAAGGAGATTCACCAATGTGAGACTACATCTTTTTCCACCGTTACAATGATTTACTATGATGAAAAGAAACTTATAAGAGAAAAACCGCATATTCTATTTTCTCTAACTTCTATCTCTCTTATATTTTTAAACCTTAATAACAGCCTTAGTTCAATCCGCGTACCGATAATAATTAGATTCCACAGCTTAACATGTACACATTTTGAAGTCTGAAATTCGAAATCAAATGACTAAATTACATATGGTTAGACATGCTTATAGGTGACAAATTGTACGTTTATGCTATTTTTGTTAATACTTGTATTTTTTTCCGACAATGATAGTCTTGTGATCGAGGTCAAGGAAAGAAAAATGAAAAGAAAGTTTTATACAAACAATTTTAATTGGTGCACCATGGACCACGTCTCAAGAAAAGGTTCAATTAACCTTGTTGGTATTTAAGAAAAGGTTCTATCCAGAACCATTAATAGAATTGTGGCCATACACAATGCCAACCCGAATCCAGATGTTGTTTTTGGCCACGAGCGCCGAGCGGTGGTCCCTTGATCAATGGACCCATTGTTTTAGAATTTGGGATTGGATCGAATTAAATTTCATGTTGCATGAGAAAAATATTTGCCATCTAGCTGGCTAGCTACAAATATGTGGTACTAAATAAAAAGTACTAATAGATTTATGTCATGTCATTCACTACATGATTGGAGTATATATGATTGGTAAGCCAGGGTTTTCGTGAAAGTGAATTTTCATTTTCTAAAATGTGTTTGAATACCTTTTTTATTCCTGACATTATTATGTCATCGTATGGTTCAACTACAAAAGTTGATTGAAATTTAAGTCAGAATTAACAATTTATTTTAACAACACTTTTCATGAGCTCACATTCTATCAATTTTTTTGATCAAAATCTATTAAAAATTTGATTTTTATCCAAATCAAACACAGGCTATATATTAGTTGTTATTGATAATACACAAGTCAAATGAGTGCTGAGTTGTTATTGATAATACACAAGTCAAATGAGTGCTTAATGTTAAAGACATAATTTAGATTAATTGGTTTTTCATTTCGAGTTAAATTTTTAGATAACATAGTTTGACTAGCTTGTTTAAGGCTGTACACTGAATATCCTTTTTAGCTTTCTCTTTAGAGCATGTTTGGTAAAGATTTTTAATTCAATTAACATAAATTTTTTGACTGTTATTTCACTATTTTAGTCATTATTTTTGAATTTTTCTTTCACAGATAGGACCCACTTTACCTCTAACGATCAAAAAAATAATTAACAAAATTCCTGCCAAACAAGCACTTAGTCATCCTTCAACTCTAAAAGTCCTTCCTTTACGAGCAAGTCTTAGCCCCCGTTTGGTACCCCTTTTTTTCAAAATACATTTTTCTCTTTCTTCTTTTTAACCACATATTCTTTATTAAAATAATATTACACGTAAATAAAAAAAATTCCTTATTTTTCAACCACTCACTTTCCATCAAGTTACTATTCTAAAATGCATTTTTACATAAAAATGCCTCTCAAACACCTCCTTAATTTTTTGAATATGTGCATGTAAATTCATAGTCTTTGCTTGGGAGTGTTTTTGAGTAATTATATATTGTGATTCTAAAAAATTAATATATGATAAATAAATGGGTAATAGTTGTGTTTCCTACGAAATGTATGAGTAAATCGTGTTTTAGCAGTTTTGCTAAACATGCACTTAAAATTCAGGTTAAAACCTGTTAAGAGATAAAAATCTCACATCGATTAAAGATGAAAATATAAACCAATTTATAAAGGATTGGATTACTCCTCTTAAAAAAGTTAATATTTTAATATGGAATCTCAAGTCTTAACATGGTATCAGAGCCAGGTTAAGTTTTAACGAGCGATTCGATCCAATTAAGACTCTAAAAATGAGCACACGGATTTCAAGATTGACTTACTCAAACAAGCCACCATCTTGGGGGGGCATGTTAAGGTGTAAAAATTTCATATCGGTTAAATATCGAAATATTGACCAACTTAAAAAAGATCTTGAGCTACTTCTCTTAATAAGGTTGACCTGCTAAGATGGAACCCCAAGTCTTAATATAGTATCAGAGCTCATTCAGTTCCAACGAGTAATTCGATCCGAGTATGACTCAATAAATGAGCATTCGGATTTCAAGATTGGTCTACTCAAACGAGCCACCATCTTGTGGGGACATCTTAAGAGAAAAAAATCTCACATCGATTAAAGATGAAAATATAAACCAATTTATAAAAGATTGAGCTACTCCTCTTAAAAATGTTGACATTTAAAGATAGAACCCGAACTTCTAACAAAACCCATTTGGTCCTTGAACCTAGATATATGCATGTTCCAATTTCAAATCTGAACTCATTTTTGCTCAAATCGACCATTAAACTTAAGTTTGTGTTCCAGTTGTAAGTGTTATACCCTAGATTTAATCGATTTAGGTTGTAAACGCTTTTTATATATTTAACGCATTTGATTTTGGCGAGATCTATTATTTACTTAAATTAATTTTGTAATAAATAATATTAAATAATAGAATCCGAAGATCCAAATTTTAGATAATCTGTTAATCACAAGGAGTTGTGATTGTGAGATACAAATTACATATAATTGGATCTTGAATAAACCATGGTCGTAAGTAATAACGAGATACGGATATCGTTAATATAGTTAGACCATCACGTGTAGCATTTCTTACTTGTGAAATAAGTAGCCGATCTCACGAGCTAAAGTGTGGTGACACTTAAATGAACACGTGGATATTTTGTTATAGAACAAAATATTGGAGACCCGCTAAGAGATTCCACATGGATAACTATCTGAGTGTCAGTGGCTAATCTCTAACGTTCGGTAGTGGAATTGGTCCTTTGACTTGAGGTCGTCATGGTACCTTATATGAGGACAGTCATACTTTGGCGGTATTGGATGTTGCTCTGAAAGGGGCAAATATACGACATCGTTCGGGTACGTGAAGAATCGTATGAAGGTTGTGATTGATCAATAAAGGATTC